CTTTACATTCGCACACACCCTCCACACACCCCTCGCACTCTCCTCATATCCCCCAGGTGCCCTGGCACACCCCCAAACACACACCTCACACCCCGTGTTAATTGAACCACATTAATGCTGGGTGTTATGGAACCAATGCCTGGTGATTGCTTTCCTGGATGAGCAGGAGCTGTAGGGGAAGGTGGAGTCAGGGTGAGGAGTGAGGGTCTTGGTGTGTGGCCTAAAGGTGCTGCAGTGATGAGGCTGTTTGACTTGGGTCACTTGCTAACTGCCATCAGAGGTTTGGCATGCCTCTTTAGGTTGTGAGTCACTTTCTACCAAGAGAGAATCATCTTTAAACCATTATTTGTTTTTATAGGTAAAATCTGCCATGATTTCTTTTTCTTTTGGCTGGCTGCTTTCCTCCCACCCCAGTCCTGCTTTTTGTTGGTAAAGGGTTTTGATACCTGTGACTGCAGGAGGGCTTCTGGAATGTTATGGTCGTGAAACCTGAGCAATAACAAAGGAAGTGCATCAGTCAGAATTATGTTTTTTTCCACTCTGAAAACTGTAAACTGTTACCTGGCACTTGAGAGAAAAGTTGGGTTTTGTGAGTGTTTTACTTTCTCCTCTTTATTACCTGAAGATGAAAGCCTCTTTCGCCCTTTTTTTTATGTGTTTCTGAATAAGAACAGAAAAAACAAGATCAGGTACTTCTACCTAAAAATGAAGGGGCTTTCTGCATTTAATATTACTTTTTTTTAGATCTTCCTTGTAGATAGTTTTAAAAGGGCACAGATGAGTATTTTCTTAATGCACACTTTAAGGAAATTGTTCCAAGAGGAAGTTGTCTGTTCTTTGCTTCAGATAAACCGAGGAGTCGATATGCTGTGAATGGCTCTGGTGACACTACAGAAGATCCAGATGGGGACTCCAGGTAGGGGGAAACACTTCTCCTTGCCCAAGAGTTGGAAATAGAAGGGATGGCCTCTTGCTCTCTTGCCTCCTAGTTCAAAAGTGTAGAAGACAACCTACCAGAAAATGCTTTAATTCCAAGTTATAAGCAAATGAGTGCTTAGTAATGAGGAATATCTCATGAGGGAATGCTATTGAATCTATTGTTTTCTGGGAAAGGTATAGGTCAGGTATTCTATGCTCGTCAGAAAGGCAATGTTACTTTTTCAAACTAGGAGTATAATCCTTTGGCAAAATTCCACTTTTCTTTACCTGCGTACCTCTTAACTAGATATTCAGTTGCTCAAATTCTTCCCTAGCTCATGTAATTGTCATATGGAGTTGCTGTGCACTAATGAATAACTAATTTTGTTTCCCCACATGTAGCTGCCTTTGTGTCTGTGGAGTGAAATAGTAGCTCAAAAGGAAAGTGAGACTTAAAGATAGTTTTTCATTTACAGGAAATCAGTGGGTAACAAACACACGGAAAATAGGCAGTGTCCAGCATGCATGTACATACAAATGGATTCTTTAAGTATTTTTTTCTAGAAAATTTGAGATCTGCTGCATGGTTCTAAATTTGTCACTATCAGATATGAGACAAATCTGGGAAATAAAAAAGGGTTTTTTGGTCTGTTGGCCCATAGTTCACTTGCAGATTTTTTTTTTTTTTTTGTGATATATATTTTAATCCCCAATATTAATAAAATGGGCTAGTTCCTGCTCTTCTCTCATATAACAGTGAAAAAGAACTATTCATCACTTGTGTCCCTGCCCAAGAAATTTAGATCCCAACCTCACAACATGTAGACTTGTTCTTAACTCTGTGACTGAGAATGGTTTAGCTGAAATTAAAATCATTAATGACTGTAAATGTCATCATATGTTTTTCCAGGACTGGGATATTATGAAAAAGCATTTTGCTTGAGGTTAATTGTATCTCTTGCCTCTTCTGGCATCTTTGAAACCTTCAGATGCTGCCTTCTGTTGTGTCTGCAGTGAGTGCAGTTTGGTACAGAGCACAACTCCAGTGGGAGCAAGCTGTGGTTTTTTAAGATTGGGAGTTGTTGAATGGCATCATGGATTGTGCTATGGACAGCAGCTAGCGTGTGCCTTGGGAGGACTCAGTGCACTACTGATTATCTCAGGGATTTTGTTGGTTGCTGTTCAAAACCCTGGCTCTGGTATTTCCCTAGATAGATTAAGATGGTGTTGGAACAGTACCAGCTTCTGTCTGATACTGATTCTTGTTGCCTCTGCCATGTTGGCAGGTTGGAGAAGCTCTTGATGTGGATCTGTGGTGGCTGAATGTTGCCTATGGTGCTGAATTAGTATGGTGCAATATGTGGCTACTATAGTGATTCAGGAAAAGCTTTTACGATTTCAAAGTATGGTCAGCTGAGAAAACTGCTAGTATTTTCCTGAAACTGGTTTTAAGTAGATTGAATGTGCTGGCATATAACCCAGAAAAGATTTAGATTATTTCATTGTGGTGGTGTCCAGAACTCTGGACTTGAAAGTTCATGCTAAATCTCCTGATCAGGTATTTGTTATTAAGCTTTTAGTGTGTTTTAGGTTTATGATCTCTCAACTGAGTTCACTAATGACAAGCATCACAGTTCTGAAGTGCTAAATGAAACATACTAAGACAGAAATCCCCTCTGCAGTGGTGGTATTCAGAAAACAGAATCTGTCACTTGCACAGTTTTGTATATAACAATACATACAAGTTCATGCTGCCGTGTCTGCACCTGACTCTTACTAAAGTCAGTGTTTATAAACCTTACATCTTAGATGAAATTGAGCTGTTGGGCAACACCAGTCTGTTCGTAGGAAGTCCCTTAATATTATCTCCCATGGATCTGTCTATAGCTGCCATGCACATGAAGGGGAAGTAGAAGAAAAGGACCATTTATGTTGCTCTGAAAGTGCTGGTTTTGTTAGAGGCCAGATACTGAGGTCCAGCACACTACTTGTGTTGCTTACGTGGCTGGGCATCTGCATTCAGAAATTCAAATTGTGTTTGTTTATTGAAAAGCTTTTTCCCAATAACGCTGTTGTAAGTACACTGCATCCCATACAACTGATGTAGCAGTTAAATGTATCCTTCTCTTCAGTGACAGCAGCTTGTGGAAGAAATCACTGATGCTCTTTATATGCTTGTACTGTTAATTTATACTAGACAAGAGGAGGGTTGTTGGCAGAGTTAATATCTTTCACTGGACTTTTGTGCTGGAAGAAGGGCCTGTATACCTTAAACTTCTGTTTGTACCTTAACTGTACCTAATTCTGGTTGTAGCCTAAAACTTCTGATTTAGGTACACACGCCCTTCTTCCACCACAAAGCAAAAAGGGATTTTCAAAAGTGTGTACAACAGATTGCTCAGACTTTTGATTTGTATCAGACTGGTTTAGGAGTAACAGAATTTGGCACCTTGGAGTAGAAGAGATTCTAAGGGGAGAGTGGAGACAGAAAAGTGAAGATGTCTTGGAGATGGTGAGATGCATATGATTTGTGAACTAGGAACAGAAGGAGTTTACCTTTCATATGCTGTAAAACCAGTATTGTCATTGAGCCCATGGGGTTTTTTCCCTCACCAGTGTTCCGAATCTTCACACCTGGGCTCCTGTTCAGAATGTGTTCTGTGTGTTCCCGTTGAGACCAGGAATAGAGTGACTGGTTTAGTGAGAGCCATTCCCCCAGTGGCAGGTCTATCCCTGTGAGTTGGTACTTCCACAGTGCAGTGGCACAGTGGTTCTCTTACTGAAGCACTTGGTTCAGTAGCTCACCGAGAGGTTTCACCAGCAAGAAGTCCAGTCTGTTTTCTGGTGGTGGTGATTTTTTTGCTTGGAGTTGCCCCTGATGAAAGTTATTTATTAAATGGTTTCATATTATTTCTGGAAGGCTTCTTCAAGGAAGAGATGGCAAAAAGATTCCTTTTAATCACTGCATCACAGTAGCATCTGTGGATCATTCTGGTGGCACAAATTGAGGCTTTGGAGCAGGCAGACTGTTAGGTGGGGTTGATGGTGTATGGCAATTTTGATAATGTTGAGGGGTTGGGTCTTTCCTCTGTTCTCATGTTCAGCTGCAAAGGTTGTTTCAGATTTACCTTGTTGCTGCAATAGTTCTTATGAGGGATGGATTCATCCTTTTTTATACTGGTGGCTGTCTTTAGTTTACTAGCAGTTTAGCACTGATTGTAGCCTAAAAATAAGGTTCACTATTGCTTTTACCCTAAAAATAAGGTTCACTATTGCTTTTCCCCTAAGCTATTCGAACCCAGATCGATTACTTTTGAGCTGCCCTTTCCTGGAGCTTTTGAGGTGTGTGTATTTCTTTATGGCCTCAGAAAGAACAAAATTAGATCAGTTTGGGTGCCTTAACTCCATTTCTGTATAGCATAATGATATGCATAATTGGATTTCTTTTAGCCTTCAGACTCAAATTTCCTGGTCATTGTTAGCTTTTTGTTTTTTATAGACAACTGCAGCCTATTCATGACAATCTTACCTCTAGGTTACTGGTGTGTATTTGCTTGTATTAATTTCTGCTTAATGGAGCTGTATGTTAGAGTCTTCAAAATACAGATTTTTTTTTCCTTTAAAAGCAAGTCAAGCAGCAGAAGTGGTTGAGGTGTGTTGATGGTGGCCATGCAACAAAAAGGTATTCAGAAGAATCTGTCACTGTCAAAACAAATTGCCTGTCAGTTGTCTCTATTGGCTTCTTCTCAGCCTTTAATCATTTGCTGTCTTCAAAAACATCCTTCAGTTTTTGCATGCTTTACCAGTAACACATACCCCTCACAGTTCATGGAGATGACTGCCAGTGTCTCCCTCCTCCCCCCCAAAAAATGTGAGGCAAATACCCTTTAGAAGCCATAAGATAATGCTTGGTTAAATTGGTTTGAAATGGGTTTTGTAGTATTTCTGAAGGCAGTATAGTCAGTAAGCAAAAATTCTAATCAGGATGCACGTATAGCAACATATGTTAGACCAGACTTGGCATTTTTTAGTTGCCTAACTGACTAACCAAAAGAGGTTTAGCAAGTGCGTCAGCATTGATGTCATTAATTGGCCAAATGCTTCTGTTATAACAAATCCCAAGTTACTGACAAACAAGGAGTTGAATGTCCCTTTCTAACAAACAGTAGTTCTCCTGTGATAACATTTCTGTATCCTCTGTCCCTCTTTCACTGGACTCCAGTGTTCTTCCTTGTATGTGTTCTGAAAGGCTTCCTTTCTGTAAGCCTGTGCTTTTCCATTCGTCCATCCATGCCTTTAAACACCCTTCCTGTAAGATCACTTGCTTTGTATAGTTTGTCATTTAGGATTGCCCTAGGTTCCATTTTCAACATGACCAGTTGAAATCTGCTGTCTTTTGGATTAAATTATTGTTAGATTTTGCATCATCTTTCTAATGTGGACAGCATAAAGTTTTTATCAGATTAATTTTTTAGTATATTTGCGAAATTTATTTCAGGAAACAAGTCCTGTTTTTCCTTGTTGTTTAAGGAAAAAAAAAAAGGAGTTGACTTAGAATGAAAATAGGTGTTTGTTTCTCTGATACAAAAGTGAGTACAGTGCCTTGCTCTGTACGTCTGTTGTAAAGAAGGTTTTCAGGTTCTTTGCCTTGAAAACCTTTTCAGCCTACTCTTCCTGAGTTTCTGCTTATTGCCTGGGACAGACAGAGAATTGGAGAATCATTTCATGCTTGTGCTGTGAGTCTGGCCAGGTTTGTACCTATTGTTTAGATCCCTGGGGGGAGCAGCAGCAGCTCTGTGTGGAAGGCCCTTTATAGAATCCTGGGTGTGCATGCAATGATAGATGTTTGGCATCCTCTTTTTCCGAGTCTTGTGGGTATGGGAGCACCAGAACCAATTGTGAAGAGCTCTGGGTCCTTCAGGGCTGCACAGGATGTTCCTTTGGTGAAAACGCTAGTGATAGTCTAGAAAAGAAACTGAAGGTTAGAATCTGCTCTAAATCAGACTGCAGCCTCTTCTGTTTTCTCTTAAGGTAAGCATGAAATAAAAAATATCATGTGAATACAGCTCCATAAATGCAGCATATCATGGGACCACATTACAGCAACCAGTGTTAGTGAGAGGACTAAAATGCCTTGGCCTGTTTCTCCGTGTTGTCAATCTAAGCCTACAGTATGTCCCTGGAATTCACCTACCATTAACTTTTGATTCTTTGCAATAGTTGTATTTCCTTTACAGGAGTTTAACCCTTAATACTTCATCCTAGTTTTTAATATTATCTCTTTTTTTTTTTTTTTTTTTTTTTGTATTTTGTGTACTTGCCTCGTTTATTTTCTTTTGTTGTGTTTTGTTTTGTGTTTATGGCCATGTTCCCATTTCAGAGACCAATGTCCTCTAACTGATGAGCAATTGGTTTCGGGGTAAGACCAAATGTTCTAAACAATCACCTTTGTCTAGAATGGCTTTCCTTTCTCACCATCCTTATAATTGTGCTTTGTTTCTGGTTTCTGTTTTACACTGAATGATGAGATAATTACATGCTAAATCACAATGTCTGTAGAAAACGTATTGCTAAAGGTTTATGCCAGGATAATTACAAAGGTCCTACTAACATTTCTGTGCTTCCTGTAGGATATCCAGAATGGGTGTGGTACTGTCCCTTCTGTGAACTGAGAAAGGTTGTGATCCTCTGAGAATGCAACAAGTATAGCCTTGGCATTGTAGTTATTCTGACAAGGAGCCCTAAAACAAATTGCTGTCTGATGAGCAATGACATAGAAGTACAGATCAGTGAGTAAACTATTTAATCTCACAGTAATGACAGAGAACTTTTCAGAGACCTGGTTTTGAGCAGCTGTGCTGGTTGCTTGTTCTTGGTGCCCTACTAAGTTAAACTGGATGACTGCACTGTACCCCCTTTTTGGATGTGTGGAAAGAAAAGCACTTATCTCTACCCAGGGCCCCAGAAGTATTAAACTGCATCTCTAATCCCTGCTTAACATATAGATGCTCACCTAGATACTCAGCTCCCATTCTAAACTACATCAAAGAAGAATTCTTTACAGAAACCTTGCTTTCAATTCCTGTGGCGTATAAAAAGTTATTAGCCGTGCTTGGGGGAAAAGTGAATTTGTGTTTGAGGTGCTTTCCCCCTCCTTTTCCATGTGCTAAAGCAATTGTTTCTTCAGCTGGGTTTCCAGAGGAGATGCTGGTGACAGCAGTCAATCCACACTAGTGCGGTTTGTATCGTACTGTGAGATTGTCTGCTGTTGCTGCTGTATTGAGCTCATGAGAGGAGTGGTAGGATATTTGGGGCAAATTAAAGCTTTTGTTTCTTGTGTTTAGTTTCTGCCTATTGAATTCCTTTTTACAGGAGAGGTTTGCTTTCCTCTGGAAATCATAATGCTCAGACTAATCTCATAAAAGAAGAAGAGACTGTTACTGCCCAACTGTGAAACCTTATCTGCTTCTAACAAACTCTTGGGCTCTGATAAGTCAGTATTTTTAGGTCAGCTAATATAACTCAGAGATTGGAAAATCAGTATTAAAATATTTAAAGTAAAAGTGTCCTTTTTTAAGATGATTAATTGAAATGATGGGAATAGTGTATCTGCTGTCCCTCAACCTCCCTATCATCCTGAAGCCTAAGAAATGTATAAATTAGGAAGAGCACTGGGGGAGAAAACCCTTAAACCAGCAAACCCAGTAAATCTAGGCTGTCAGACAAGGAGAATGGGGCTGGAGTCCAGGTCACTCTTGGGAGAGTCCGTGGTGATACCAGGTGTCTGTACCCATCAGGCAGCATCCACGTAACCCATCACAGGGTTATCTGTCCTGAGCATTTCATCTGGCTGCAGTTGCAGTACTCTCACAGAAAGAGAAGTCTCAGTGAGAAGATACTGAGGACTTTACAAAACCTACGTTTTCATCTCCTTCTCCCCACAAAGCCACCTACAAGGTAGGGCAGACAGAGGGCTGTTGGTGTCCTGAGCTCTCCTGGGGAACTCCTGAACTGCTATGTTCAGCATCACGTCTATCTGTTAAAAGATCTGCTAGTGTAATTCCTTGTAAAAGGCAAATCTTAACAGAGCTGAAAGTTATTATGATGATCAGTTTTCCAGCTCCCAAGGTATCCTTTGCCAAGGCCGGGGAGGGAAGAGTAACTAATTTATTACCAATAAGCAGGCATTTTCTAGTTTACCCTCTTTCTCCCTTCATGCCCCAAAACATATGCTTGTTTTTGATCCATTGCTATTACAGTCTTCCTGGCTCCGTGGTGAGCCTATTAATGAACACAGCTGAACAGGGCAAAAAGAGGGGGGAAAGCTCACTGCTGTCTTGATGACTTTTTTCCCCTATTTTGAATGAGATCTCCCAAGACCATCAGTCCAGGTCCTGTTTGAGGTCACTTTGCCCTTTCTTCATGAACTCCATGTGTTATGCAACCCAGTGTGGTGGCTGAGGAGTGTGGGCTCAGTGATCTCCGGAGTCCCTGGTTAGTCTCCCCATCTCTCTGCTTGCCCTTAGATGTGTTTGGAGCAGTGGTCAGGGATTTGGAAGTTTCTACACAGCTGCTTTTTCCATAAGCCAAATGTAAGCAGTGTGCTGTGGTCAGGATGACTTGTTTGTACAAACATTGGGGCTTTGACAGTTTGTAAAGCCCCTGTGTTGTCCTTCATCTTCAGCATATATAGGTCTAACAAAAGAAATGTCCCCAGGGACATATGCAGATCAATACACACAGAAGACTGGCTACCTGTGTGCATTTGTCTTAATTCCTGTAGTACTCCATAACTCAAATGAACCAGAAAAATGGTACATTAATTCCTTTTCTGGACATTGAGGGCTCACTTGTGGCCAAGAGATAAGGTGACTGCAGCACCCACCCATGCCTGCCCTTTTCTCTGAGTGATACTGGGTTATCTGGGATACCTGCCTCGTGGAGGGGGATGGTCTGACAGAGACACATGTCCCAGAATGTAAATAAAGAAAATTAAATAAACGTTTTCATTCCTAAAAAACTGGTCTCATCAGAAACTGGTTTGGAATTAATTTAGTTAAATGGGAGCCTCCGAGAAATCAGACGAGGAAGAAAGTTGCTAATATCAAACCTTATAGTGCTTTTATTCTACAAATTCCTTCCAGCAGCTGAGGTCCTCCTCCCTGTGGATTTGAGCTCCACCATCCTGGGGACACCCTGAAGAAAACAAGTGTTTGTAGAGACTATACCAATGTTGCAAGGCCATCGGAAAGAGCAGTTGCAGAATTCCTCCCTTGTCACATTGGATTCTTACTGGTTTTGCAGCAGCAGCTGTCTTTGACAGGGCAGACTCCTTGTAAATACTTGCATTTCTGTCTCATAGCTGCCTTCTTTCCCACCACCAATCCAGATCAATCCAGTAACACCATGGTTTGTGCTGAGAAGGTCCTGCCCTGTCATGAATTTGTCTTGGTTTGATTTATCACATGAGAAAGCCCAGGTGAAGCCAGGCATATCTCAAAAGGGTGCCAGTGGTCTGTTGACCACAGGTTGGGATCTGTTAAGTGAGTAACTCACTGGTGAGCTTAGGGAAAGGAAGGTCAAGTGTTAGTTATATGTTTCTTCTGATTGAATCAGCTCTTTCTTGCCTTCCCCTCTGCCGTACTGGGTGGCTTAAAGATCTCTATGCTTGAGTGACAGGCTGTGTCGATATTTAGTTGCTTAGAAAGTTCATTAACCTGCAGCTAAATCCAGGCAATGGCTAACTTGAGCTGTTTTTATATTTAAGCGAACTGCATCTAATCTTTCCAATGTATTTTGCTCAGCATGTAATTAAATAAGCATGACCCTGCAGCCTTTGTCGTGAATGCTTCCTGTTTTATAATTGTGATGATCTGAGAGATGTAATTAAGGGGTTCTTAATTTTACGTAATTGGTGGTGCTCCAGGTACAACAATTAAACACAATTTTCAATACTTCAAAACCGTATGACTTAAATATATCTCTATCTGGAGGAATATTCTGGGGGTATGCTTTTTGAAAATTATAATACTTCTGTTTCTGCTCTTCAAGGTTTTCAGATGTCATCCTGGCAACAATTTTGGCTACCAAGTCAGATATGTGTGGCAAAAAGTTTGAACTGAAGATTGATAATGTTCGCTTTGTTGGCCATCCCACATTGCTTCAGCATGCCCTTGGGCAGGTATGGTACGAGGTCCATGCTGGGGATCTACCTTCTTTACAAACTGCATGGCTTAGGAAACAGAATTCAGCATGTGTGTGTTGGGTTTTGATCCTGTTTTTACTTCCTGGTGCTCAAAGCTGTCTTCCAGATAAACAGGGTGAGTGGCAAACTGAGGGAGCTGTGTCAGTGATTCACAGAAACCTCTTTTGGTTTGCTGTAGAAAAGTAGTGTGGGTAAAGAGAAGTAATACTAAGCAGTCCAACTTTAAAAGCTGTTTCTCATTATATTAGTTATTGCAAGTTGCTTTTTAGCACCTCTAATTAGTATGGCAATTAAAAAAACCTGAACCCAACACCTAAAACCTTCACAAAGGCTAGAAGCCTCATCAGCCTTGTTTGGTTTTTAACTCTTACTGGTGCTGAAGATGATTCACAAGGCTTGGTTAGAATAGATAGGAAGTTGAAAGAGGTCTAAAATCTTCTTGTGGACAAAGTCACAAGATGAACTGTAAGAAAGAACTGGGCTTTGGTAATTTCTGAATTTAACACTGATTTCTCTCGCACTGAACTGCTTTGGTCTCATTTTTCACCACATTTACTAAGTCGTTCATTTTTTCAGGAAAAAATCTGCTTTCCAATTTTATCGTTCTCTCTATCTATAATTAGAGATGGAAACAGATTGTTGGTATCTGCTGCTTGATACTTAGAGAACCAGGCTGCTTTAATCCAAATGAGGAGCTGGCTCCAAGCATCAAAAGATGCTAGTGTTCCACTTTCGAAACTCAGTCTGGGGTCTACCAGAAATGTGATGTAGGGTCACCAAGGCTCAGTCCTCAAATGTTTAAAATGTGTTGGAAGAGAGAATTCAAGTGTCCCCAGACTGTGCAACTACATCACCAGCCCCAGCCAAGGCAAGTGATGAACCAAGTGCAGGGTCCGTACAGGTCCCCCAGCCAGGAGCAAAAAGGAGATGGGACCAAAGGCAGGGCTGGAGGACAAAGCTGCAGTGTTCTTAGCCAGAGGTCCATCCAGGAGACAAGCTACCTATGACAACATAGGTTGAAGGCCCGTCCACGAGATGGGGCTGGAGACAGGCATACCTACGGGCCATGGGCTGAGCTTAAATGGGGCTCCAGGGACAAGCCTGGGGGACCCAAGTGGGATGGGTCAGGGCCATTAAGACTATTTGGTGCCCTGACAGCATAGCCTGTTCTCTCACAGTATCAGATTCCTTTATTTTGTTAATCTTGTCTGAAAGGCACAGCTTCCTAAATGTGCTGTAAATGAGGTTAAAAATTTATATTTGCATTTCTTCACCACGTTATTATACATTCTCTCAACTTCCCAGTCAGTTTTATTCTAATTGCGTAAAATGTCTCTTCATTTTCAATAAGTCCAAATAAAAATGCATTAGGGTAGATGAACGAAGTTATAACGTGCTGTGAACACTTTGCTGCTTCTTGCAGGATCTTTTTGGATGTGTCTTATCACCCCAGTAGGTGCACCAGAACTTTCAAGTGTCTAGAAACTTCTAGATGTGGCAGCCATCTCTGCTAGTTCATTTGAGTCTAAATCTGGGACCCTTCTATGGTTAGGAAGAAGCTAGAGGGAGCTCCTTTCCAGAGCAAAGGCAGTGACCGGAGGGATCTGACAGTCTCTGGTTTGGGTTTCTCCAGAGTTCTTACTATAGTAAATTAATCCATACGACAGCTCAGCAAATTCTTACTCAGATGAGATTCAGGAGTTAGAAGAGCACGAGCAGTTAATCCTGTGTGCCGGACCACCTTTTATGTAGGAATATTCTGAATTCTTCAAATTCCTTCAGCATTTTCTTTTCCAGCTTAGTCATTTCTTCTTTTTTTCTGGACAAGAGGCAATATGAAATCTAGCCTGCATCCCACTTGATATTAATGGTGCCAGTTTCTTTGATTTTAAGGAGGGAACAGGATCAATCCCTACATTTGGAAATGCTTTTGAGTCTGTATTGAAGTTCACAAGACATCCTGGAAACTGTAAGTCCAGACAAATTAAAACAGTAAGTGAGCTTGACCACCCTCCTGTCATGGCCTTTTTGATAGGACTTCAGTTACGCTTTAGAAAAAAAAAACCCAAACCAGAAATGTGTTACTTCTTTTAGTTTCTCTAATTTTTAAGACTACTGAGTGAAAGCACGTAGATTTTGGAGCTCACTGCTGAGCAGTTTGTTGCTCATGCTTGGGACCTGTCAGGAAGGGTGGGTGCAGCTCTGCTTTTGCCAGCATCTCTGCGTTTGTCCCATCTCAGAGAGGCTGCATTAGCTACATATGCTCATGTGTTGGGTAGGGACTGAGTATTAGGTTGGCTGGGTGTTTGGCTCAGTAGGTTATAGCTGATTTCACTTGGGATTGGATGGGTGTTAGCTTTGGGGATGGCAGGAATGTCCTCTGGATTTTGTGCTCCATCTTGTGGTGACACTTGCTCGATTCAGAGTTGTTTATCTTGGAGGCACAAGCTCAACTTGCTTGTGGTGGCTTCCTTTGTTCCTCCCCACCAGAAAGTCTGTATCTGTGTTAGGGATGAAGCTCTCTTCTGCAGAAAGAATGGGGGGCGGGGAGGGGGAGGCTGTAGGATGTGTTTGAAATCCTGCAGGAAGGGAAAATCAAACCTTTTATTTTAGTACTGCACTTCTAAAGCATATTTTTTCTGATAAAAGCAACAGTTTCTAACATAACTCAATCCAAATGGGGATTTTAGGAAAAGAAAGAATATGTATGGCCTGGGATGAAATATCTATGGACTTCTCTTTAGTTAACAATATATATGACAACTGTGCTTGGGAATTGAAATGTAGGGTCCCTAATGATGCTAAAACGTGCTAGTAAAACACATATTAAGACTGTTATCTTCTATGGTCATGACCATGCTTTGGTTTAAGTTTTCACAGCTTTTCAAAAAAGGCAGTGTTGTAAAGTAACTGTGACACTTTAATTAAAAAAAAAAATCATAGTTTTAGTCTTTACAAGTCAAATTTGATGGTATAATTTGATTTGTCTGCTCTCTTTTCTCACTAAACTTGCTATTTGACTGAGTTAGGCTTTTTTTTTTTTTCCCCCTTTATTACTGGATCCAACTGACACAAGCCAATGGGATTTATTAAAAAATATTTTTCAGGTATCCAAAACAGATCCCTCACCCAAGAGAGAGATGCCCACAATGATTCTCTTCAACGTGGTGTTTGCACTAAGGGTAAGGACTGTCTTCGTTCCATCTGACAGTGGGATGCGATTTGGATATATAGGAGAATGCAGTAGGCTCAGGTACCAGTGTAATTTCATTGGATTTTGAATTTGATTTTGAAACAGCAAACCTAAACAATGTAGAATATGACACTGACAAGTAGGAAAGTTTTCCAGCCCAGTGGAAAACAACTGCTCTTCAGGACATTTTCTAGAGTGTTTGGTTTTATATATCCAGAGTGTAAAGACATGCAAGAAACCACTTTGCAAAATAGAGATGAACCCAGTTGCAAGTCCTGCATGTGTCTTGTCTTCCATTATTAGGGAGCTGATAATCGGCTGTGACTTTTCTAGGCCCTGCAATTAAGGTTTGACCAGCAGAGCTGTGCAAGAAGGTAGCCTGGGTCTGACTGTCCTGTGTGTCAGATGCCGCTCTCTGTACATGACTGCTCTGCTTCTGCCCAGGACAGGACCAAATCCGTACTGCTGCACGTTGCTAAGCCCTTGTGACTCCATGTGGTTCAGACCTTGGTTGTCAGCTCTGCTTCAGAAGCAGAGGCAGCAGGCAGTGTGGAGAGTGGCTCATGCTTGGCCAGCCTTAAGAGTCAGGTCCCCACCATGGCCTTGGTCAACCCAAGCTAGCTTAGGGCAGAGTCATTCAGAAGCCTACATTGGCTCAGAACAGCAGCACTGTTTTGAGCCCTTACTCATGCTGTATGTTACAAAGACGTGTGCCTTTGTTCAGTGCCTGTAAGGTTTTTTTTTTTGTTTTTTTTTTTTTAATAATGAAATAGTATTTGAAAGCTGCCTCCTCTTAGCAATGAGATGTAGAGTAACAGGGAGCAGCAGCTGTAGCATTCTAAATGAGAAGAAGGTACAAGTGAAGAGGAAGTAGGTTATGATGCTCAGCAAGAACCTGGAGCAAATATATAGGTTTTGATTGGAATTTTTTTCAGGCCTACTCTACTGACTAGATGTTGGTATCTGTGTTGAGAGATCCTGGCTTGGCTAATTAGGTGGTGTAAAACACTAGAAATTTCATTATGTTTGAGCATTATTTGATTTTTGAGCTCTGGCTTTCTCTTCCCAGCCCACTGGTCGCATCTGTGGGACCATCATTTTATTTTTGTGGCATGTACACATGTGAAGAAACATTTTAAAAATAGCTGTGTCTATGGAAATTACTGATTTTTTGCTTCACTGGATATAATGTCATGATTTATATTTGTTTTCTTCCTTTTAGCACTAGTACTTTTCTTACCACTGGCTTTCCAGCGGTGACTAGCATGGCCATGACCACAGGCAAGGTGGCTTGTCCTCAGCTGAAGAGCAAAATTTCACACAAGACAATTATCCCAGCAACTAGTCTGAACCAAGCAAGACATCGTATGCTGGGTTCTGTTGGGGATCCAGAGTTCTTGGGCTTTGGGACATTCTTAGGTCAGGAAATGCTGAATTTGCATTACGGGAGTTGATCACACATTAAGGGACTTTAGCTTCAAGGAATGTTGTTGTTTTCATGTCCTGGTAAAGCACCATGCTTTGGTTGTAGGTAAGTGTATAGATGCACATGTGAACACAAATATGGATGCACATGGAGTCACAAGCAGAAGAGTTGAAACCAATGCTCTTTCACTTAAATATTGCAGGAGCTTGCAGTGAAGACTATACCTAGCCCACATTTTTCTGCAATCTAATTTCTAGTGGTTTTCCTAGGAAGACTTGCTTTTTTTTCATTTTGGCACTGTGATGATTCTGATGTAATTGTGTGTAATGTGGCACTAAATCATTTGCCAAATGAGACATTCTTAGTTCATAGAGAGCTGTCAAGTTTGGGAAAAGTGCTGTGCAAGAAGCAAGTGGAAAGTTTTTCCTAGAATGTGCAGTGCACCACAGAGGGTGGGGGGAGGCATTCTGAGATAAAGATGAGAGTCCATCTGCAGTAGGCAGACAGAGCAGGCAAAGTCCCAAATGCTGTAATCAGCACTGATCCTGCTGTGTTCAAGCTTCAGGGTTACCAACGTGTCGTGACTCAGCAAGAACAGTGGAATCAAAAACTGATGAGTCATGGTTTGCTAGTTTACGTGCCAAGTGTTCACTTGCTAGAAGTGTAAATTCCTTCAAATGTCTTAACAAACATTTAAAGCAGCTGCTTACTCAGACTGGAGCCACCGAGTCCCCCTCCCCTTGTCAGCTGTACTTACATGATAGATTTTTCCTGCACTTTCATTCTGAGACATGCACAAATGCAGTGTTAACTGTAAGCCATATTTGTGAGATGTTTGGGAGTGTAAATCCAAGTTAATTCTGGTTTGGGATCAAATTGTTGATCATGTGCTGGCAATTCTTAGCTAGTTACTGTCTTGTCAGGATACAGGACAAACGTTAGTACAGGAACATGGAGTAAATGGGCCGTGTTAAAGGCACTGCAGTCCTCACATTGCCAGTGAATTTAACCTGAATGTCATGATATTGTGCCTTTTCAAATAGCTCGACACTTTCTCACTGTGTGAAATCAAGTTCTGTGTCTCTGCTAGCAGAACTCATTAGGCCCATTAACAACTGGAAAAAAACAATCAGATAGGAGTTTCATACTATAGGTGCTGTGTTCATTTGATGCACAGGCAGGCATAGAAATCCCCAAGTCTTCTCTTTACTTTTGGACATCTCTTTCTGCTTTGTTGCTGCTAGAGAAAATTCCTTACTTTTTCCAGTTGCCAAAGAGGCTGACTTCTGGTATCTACTGAAGATAATTATTTTCATAGAATCACGGAATGGTTTGGGTTAGAAGCGACCTCAAAGATCATCTGGTTCCAATTCCCCTATCTAGTGGATATCTTCCACTAGTCCAGGTTTCTCAAAGCCCCATCCAACCTGGCTTTTTGACTACTTACCCATCGCTGTAGTTCCATTTATGTGATTGTGGCTAAATGACTGCCCTGTTTCTTTTCTGTGTTGCCTGTAGGCCAATGCAGATCCATCTGTGATAAACTGCTTACACAATCTTTCCCGAAGAATCGCCATAGTCTTGCAGCACGAGGAGCGCCGCTGCCAATACCTGACCAGGGAGGCCAAGCTGATCTTAGCTATTCAGGATGAAGTGTCTGCCATGTCAGAAAGTACGTGCTAAGTTTAGCTTTGTGCAGGAATGTGTTTGTCCAGGAGCACTTCTTCAGAAAAGTGCTGATTGTGCCTTCTTATGCCTTTTGTGGCTGGGATCAGCATGAACAAGTTTTGGTGCGCTTTAGCATTCTGACAGTTTTTGACAGCATTTTGCCTCATCCAGGATCACTATCCCTATGCAGAGATGTCAGCTTTAGAAGTGAAGCAGCTTGTTCACTTCCCTTGCTAGCTCAGTTTAGTGCAGTCACTGGAGAATGAATGGGCACTGAACCGTCACATTTGGATCTGCCTGTCAGGCTGAGATTGAAGAACTCGTATGCAGCCTGCTTCACCCAACCTAGAGCAAGTTTCCCATGCTTTAATGCTGTGTGCTGAGTCACCAGGTTTCTTGTGTGGAAACTTTACTCTTACATGTTGTTACCATGGCTAGTAAACAGTTACAGAGCATTTTTATAGCCTGTACTTCAGAGCAAGTTACTATAATAATATGCAGTATTTAAGATGAACTCTGACAGTGATGCATCATCTTGCTGCAAGCATTAAAAATTTAACATGCATAAAACCAAAAACGTATAAAATCATCACTTGTCAAATTCACAGTTATATGTGCTTAACTGAGTTGAGATTTAGGAGAACTTGGCAATAATTTACTATTATTTTAACATGTAACTTAAGTTATTGCTAAGATGATTGTAGATTAAAAAAGGATGTAGATCATAGATTAAATGGGTTCTGTCCTAGTGGGGGAAGAGGACACTCTCTTTGGTTTGAAATCAGTTTTTTGCTTTCTTGTTTTGAAACTTTCCACAGCCACGGAAGGGCCACAGTCACCTTTTCATCACATCCTACCCAAGTGCAAACTGGCCAGAGATCTCAAAGAGACATATGACAGGTAAGTGGGATTTTCATCCTAGCTCATAGTATATGCTGCTTCTCATGAAACCTCTTGGTCTTGTTCCTTAGGATATTATCTACCTCTTCATGCCGTTGACTCACTGGGACTTGGGTTTTGGACCAGAGGAGCAATGTGAAATCTAGCTGTCAGGTGAAATGTTTGCAGAATTGCTGTTGTAATCATTACCTTGGTCTCCCTTTGGATATGTTTTGGTTCTTAAAACTGTGACAGACATCACCTTTTAAGAATTACTTTCTTCCTTAGCACAGGGGCACATAATGGTAAGTGAATTGTAGCATTGGGAAGTGTCATGGTACACATATCATATTCCTGTAGTGCTCTAAACCTGTAGCTAAGAGAAAAGTGCTGCATCTAGCACTGATGGCAAGTCAGATACTGCCCTGGCTTCATTTGGTTACAGTGTGCATGTCTGGACAGTGTATTTGCATTAGGTAGTGAGACTTTCAGCAGAATGAAAAGTGTAACATGCTGTTTCTTGACTGGATTAAAAGTTCTGGCAGGGATTTCAAAGGAGTGTGGAGTTAGTGCTGAATTTCAGCAGGAGCCAACACCAGCCTCCTCCAGCGTACTTTGTCTCTGACAGCTTGTCAGGGCTGACTCCTTATGCAGAGCAGACGCTTCCGTTCACGACATGCACTTGCTGAAAGACCTTGACAAAGGAGCACAGAAGGTTTTAGTGGGGAGGAATATGATGTGCCCTTTGATTAGGGTGTCTGTCAGGGCTTGGGAGAATTTTGCTGAAGCTCCCCGATTGACTGTAGAGCACATTATATGGTATGAGACAAACCCTTCACCCTCCCTAGATTGCGGTTCCCCTTGTACAGAGGGAATAATCACAAGACCCTGTAAGGTAAGGCACTGAAAGCCTAAATAATTTAATGATTGCAAAGCACATTAGAAAATTTATAATAAGCTGTTCTTTGTTATGTTCAAGACCTGTGAATTTCAGCTTCTTTGGAAGGCATGTTGTATATTGTCCCATACAACTCACATCAAACCTGTACTGAAGGTTAAAATAAGGCACATTCTATGCAGCCTGTAATTCTAATATTGAATGTCACCTACTAGTTACTTTCTATTCCTCGAGGGCTATGTATTTGTGACTAGGCAAATCCTGATCTTGTTTCCAAACATTTTAGTGACACAGTGACATCTTGTGGCACTTAGCTGTGACTGGAGGAACATGGTGTGTGCTAATATGACCCTTCCTGACCCCTCCTTCTTGACATAAGGAGGAATAGACTAACCACAGAGAAACACACGTTGGTGCTGCCCCCCAGATGCAGAACAAGGCAGTGTCTCCCTCATTTAGGTATTATGAGTGAGGGAGAAGCAGTGAAAGTTATTTTTTGACACTTTTGCATGACATTGTCATAACCAAATGTAAAAAATAAGGTGTTGCTAAAAATATAAAATGTCTGTGCATTTTGTTGGAAAGCTCTATTTGAAGAGTAGTTAACAGTGTTCCTGGCTGGCTGGGTAATAAGGTGCTCTTCTGCAGTATTTTTCCATTAATACAATAGAATAGGAAATACACTTCTTACACCTGTTCTCAGCTCACATGAGAGGAGCTGCAGCACTTTGCCAGGCAGGCATAGAATTAAAAGTTTGGTTTTTTTTGTAAGGTAGAAGAAATGGTCTAGGAACAGGATTGTTATTCTGCAGCTCCAAGATGAATTTGTGTGTGGCAGCAGCTCTGGAGTAAAGTCTGTGTGGTCCTCTATGAAATGAGGGTTAGGCACAAGTGACATGGGGTTGCAGAAAAAGCAAATAGACGAGAATGCCTAGAACAAGACTCAGGTCTGTAAGTTAGGAATCAATCCCATTCAGGATTTTAAAGCCCCTGCTGTAATTAATACTGTATCCAGTTTTGGGCACCACATTTCAAGAAGGATTAAAGTATGTGGAGGAGTGTGAATGACCTAAGAGGAAAGATGGAAAGATTTGGTCTGTTTGTTTTAGAGGAGAAAAGGCTGGTGGGAATGGCAAGTCTTCAAATACATGCAGTGACAATGTGCTCTTTTAAATTTACAGAGATTTCTGGCATAGCCTCTGGCATAAGGGAACAGCATAGTAAAGTGGAGAGAGCACTTTGAATTGCAGATGGGAACCCAGCTCTCCATCTGAGATTTGCTCAAGCCAGCCTTTCCTATTGTCTGCTGATTTCTGCAATTCCAGTGGAAGGCCTCTTGAATTATCTCCGTTGCTCCAAAGGTGCTGTCTAGCCCTTGTTTTCCTGTAGATGGTGCTGAGGTATTTCAGGCAAGACCCAACATGTCCCTTAGCAAGTTGGTTTATACAAAACCACAAGTGTATGAATCAAAATGTCCTTTGCATTTTGAATGAAATGCCTATAATTTATAAGTCAGGAATCAATAGCCAGGTTATCTTGACCATAACACTATTGCTGTTATACTAATGGAATATTCTTCAATTAACAGTTCAGAAGTAATAAGCATCTAAATCCTGGGACCTTTTCTGACTCTGATGGAGAAAACTGGAATGTTTCTTTTTTTATTAGTTCAGAAAATAGATCTAAGTCTTGTTCATCATGTCCCCAAAGTTCAGCATTGGTATGGAACAAAAAAGCATTGGCTTTAGTACCAAGAAAGTCCAGTTGCCAGTACTTGCAGTGTTGACAAATTTACCAGTGTTACAATGAGTGTCTTTTAAGCCAGCCTTCAGTTTAGGGAATTAAGATAGCTTTCACCAAGTCTTATCTTGGTGAATAATATGTTAGCAGGTAATATGTTAGCTTGATACTAGCTAACTGCCTGTCTAGTTTTAGCAAACTTCTCTTCTAGCTTTATAATTGGAATGAAAGTGAAATTATGGGAAGGTTTTGGGGGAGGATTGTTTATGTCTTCTTTTTAATACACACAGAGCCTTTATACATTTTTAGCTTAGTGGGATTTAAACTGACTGGTCGATCTAGCCTATCTCAGTGGCTGAGGGAGAAGTGGAATACTTACGTGAGATTTAATGAATTACTAGATGTGATTTGTGTGGCTGTACTGTAAAATATAAACCAACTACTGTTACTTGATCAAAGGACTGTCAATGTCTCCTTTACAAGGAAATGTGAAATAATTTCAAAGCTGTAAGTAGTCACAACCTGTAGCAAAAATAAACTCCAGAGCTACAAGTTTACCTCCACCAAACTAGAAAACATTAATTTCTGATATAAATAGAATAGACATAAAATGAGGAGCATATATGTAAAATTTCATAAAATATGAGGTGAGATTGTCTTTATTTTGCCGACAGTTATGAAAAGAAAGCTACAGTTTTGTGGGATACTGGCCAACTTTTGGGTTCCCATTTTGGGGCAGTGGCTCACAGTTGCTGCTCAGGGCAGAGCAGAATAGAGCAAAAGAGCAGTGATATTCCCAAAATTATTCCCCAGCTTCCTACAGCTCTGGAGGTGGTTTCTGTATATTAACCAGCCTTCAGCTGATCTCACTTCCCGGAATTAGTCCACAGTCCTATGAGCCAGAGTAAATATTTAACCACCACAGCATCCCCTGATAAGGAGGTCCATGCCTTCACTAATTTCTGTGTTTCTTTCTGTTTCTTTTGAACTTTGCTCCTTCTAGTATCATGAGATGTCTCGTAAGTCTTATGACAGAGACACTAAACAGCTTTTTCCTATTTACTTCTCCCTGTCTCAGTTTTAGACTGTGATATCCCCTCTCAGTATCCTTATCCCTCACCATGTATCCCTCAGTATTGCTCCTCATGTATTATCTAACCAGAGATTTATTTTTTTTTTTGAAGTGTTGAAACTAAGTTTTTGTGGGATAAAATGGAATGCCTTTGAGGGTTTAATAGCCAGTTAGACTATGTGGGGTGAAGCTATTTTTGCCCAGTTGCACTTGAAGTCTGTGGGAAAAAGGAAAAGTTGGAGCAGTGTCTCTGGATACCAGTTAACTGATGGAGCAGCAGGCATGTAAGGCCAAACAATCCTTATATAGGACATAACTGCTCTGAAAAGAGCTTTTGGAATTACAGCAGATAATTTAGTGAAAATGTCAACTTGGTGAAAGAGCTCAGAGTGCAGTAACACTGCAAAAAATCCCCATTAAATGTGAGAGTAGCTGGGAAAGGAGCAAAGAACAAAGGAGCCTTCTTTGAATTCCTGGTGTACCTGCTGCACCTTTGTGCAATCGTAGGTTTCCTATCAGGGGCTACTTAAACAGTGTCCCTGAGGTTCATGGTGTGCAATGCAGCCAATGTGGTCTTCTCACCTTCCCACAGTCCTACATCTTTTGGATGATTTGCTCCACAATTTGAGTTAGTTAAGAAGGATGAAGTAGAATAGGAGGTAGGTGACTCCCCAGTGTGACTTGGAAACTTGGTTATTTCTGCTGGGTTTTGCCATTCTGCTTCTGCCTCTAAAAGAAGGTGGCTTCTGGGTCTGCTGGTCCCCAGCCAAAGCACTTAAGGCGAGCTCATGGAGTTTGTGAGGCTCACAGTAAAAATCTTGCTAAACAGATGACTTTATGGGGGATCTGTAAAACAAAGGCAAATGTGGATACAAACTTCACTTTCTGTGGGTTGGCTGTATTTCATGTTGCATGAATCTTTATGTACATATTGGTGAAGTTATTCAATGCCATTGGTTGGCTAAGGGCAGTCACATACATTGCTGCTGGAGAACGTAGCTTGTTCCTTGTCAAATTATTGAAGACTTCAATTACTCTCCATGCAAGGAGGGGCAGGTGAAGGAGTAACCATGTACATAAAGCTATAATGAAGGCTTGAATTTGTACAGTTGAATGCAAATGTAGAAGAATGAAAATGAAATTAAGATCCAGATCAGAACTGAAAATCTGGTTTTCTTGTTGTCTTTAATTCTAGGCTCTTGTATATTGCACTGGAGACAAAATTATGCTGTGGGGAGTGTAATTATGTAATTAAAGCTTCTGCCTTGGTGCACTTGGACCGAAGAATGAAAGGAACCAACTGTATTTTTTTTTTTCTACTTCCCAAATATTAAACTGTGCAGGGAAAATATCCCTGCAAGTGTTTCATGTTTTCATGTATCTCTGCTGCTTTTTGGTAACCTGTTTTAACAACCCCAGTAGTTTCCAGGTAGTCTTTTATCTCACTTGCCATGTTCATTTATTGTCATGTTTTCTCTTGTGAGTATTTGGCCTGGTAGATAGTGTGGGTAACTCCTGCTTTAGGGTGCCCTTCATCTTGATGTATTTTAAGAGAATCCAGCTTTATCTGTCAGCTGGTGTATGTCTGGTGGGATAAGCAGTGATACTAGTTTTCTTGCATTTCATGCAAGAAAAATGGAGGCGTTGGCTGTGCTTTGCATGTTCCTTCAGGGTTTGGAGTCCTCTATTCTGATGTAAGGTGGTAATGCCACAGAGACAATGGATTAATCTTCTCAAGGAAAACATACATAATATCTACTTCATTTGCAGCTTGAAAAATCAATATTTTTGGAGGTCGGTGCAAGATCTGAGAACAAAACCACAGCCTCTGCTTTTGAAAAACGTTGTCTGCAGTGAGATCGCCCCTAATGAGTCTGATCATGCACAAGGCAGGACAGGATCGTGTTTGCTCTCTCACCACTCTGTTGTGGTTTGGTGAATAGTTATACTGGCAGCCAAAGCTGCCCAATGTTTTTGTTTTAAAGCTGAATTTTCAGGTCTCTCTAAAGCCTGTATCCAACCAGATTAACTTGAAAAAGAGCATGTTAGTTTGTGGCCTGCAATTCAATGCTAGGTAGAATGTTGAAATCACCACATAAAGAGTTTCCAAGGCATGTATTTGCTCCCAGCCTGTTCCTGGCATGTTTTTAAATACGCTTTGTGTAGAGGGGAAATTCGTGGGTGTTATCGACACAAAAGTTGTATTGTGAGTCTCAACACTCTTGAACTTAAAATTCAGACTGGAATTGTCAGAGTGTAAACTTCCAAATTGTATTTTAGGCCCTCTTTTCAGTGAAAGAGGCTTATAGTTGCTTTCAGGCTGAACCCGAGTGTCAGACTTTATTGTCATTCCTGAGATGTCCATCATTTCCACTCCAGTCCTGTTGCCTGAAGTCAGCTTAAAGGCTTAGCTGAGTCCCTGTGGTTTCCTAGAATGAAGAAGCCATTTAACCAAGCATGTTTGTGATTTCATGTGACAAGCAGGAGCAGGTTAGTAGGAAATAAACAACCTAAGCAGAACTGAAGGAGTCCATTGCTGTGGAAATGTGCTGCTTGTAACCCCCTTTGCCCAGTGCAGACATCTCCTTTCCTTTTTATTTGGAGAGGAAAATGGAGATTAGAGGTGAAAACATTGTGCCCAATTCATCTTTGCCCTTTGCAGCTCTGGTCTAGGGAAATCTCTGCCTTGCAGTGTTTTTTCAGGAAACTCTTAACTTGAGATACTGCTGCAATGTTAAGAGCAGAGGGAGCATAAGATCAGTGGGGTGATGTCTTTCGGATCCCTCCAAAGCCTCACTGGGGATAATGCTCTGTAAATACAAGTTAAGGAAGGACTTGCAGCTAGGAATCAGCTGGTCCTCAGCCAGTGTGGGGATAGACAGGTTATATTCAGCCTTTTGTTGTCCTGTTGTGATTCCTGTGCAGGGGTGAACCTGGACCACTATTTTCATTTGTTATACACAGTAAATGCTGTATGTATTTATTTTCTTCCTATTTTAGTCTCTGCACAACAGGAGTGGTCCGTTTACATATCAACAACTGGTTGGAAGTGAGTTTCTGCCTGCCTCATAAAATCCATTATGTTGCCACAAACTTTATACCCCCTGAAGCAATTGAAAGAAGCCTGAAATCCATCAGGTAAGCACAAGCTGTCCTTCAGATTGTGGCCAGCCCCTCCTCTAGTTTCAGATGTGGTGCCACAAATGTCTGTCCTGGCAGAGCTGGGGAGATGATGTGACATGAGCTGTCACGGTGGTGGCATGGGCAGAGACAGGTCTCCCTTGAAGCTTCTGCTGTGGTACCATAATGCTGCTGTGTATGCAGTGCTATGAAGCAACAGCCTTTGCCTTAACATTAGGTGGTTGTACTGAGGTGATGTTGCAAGAGAGGTCTGCTCTCTTCCCAGTCACAGGAATTGTGTGTTCATTTTAATCTGACCCAGAAGTAATTTTGGTTTTAGAAGAAAAAGAGCCCAGGCCCTGTGAGATCCTATTTTCCAGCATTCCATGTTCACAGCTTTTTACTGGCAAAAGTAACTAATTCTTGCTTTTACTCCATTCTGTATTTCAGTAGTGTAGATGAGCAGTTTTCAGACTAGCTCTCCAGTCTTAATTGCATGCTAGCACAGTGCAGTCTTTTTTCCTAGTCTTTGGGGCATCCAGTTACCATATAACCTCCTATCCCTTTTTTATAGGGAGTGCCTTACTTTGTGACAAAAAAGCAGCTTATTCTGAACCTGCTTACACCAAAAGGATGAGATTAGAAGCTCGTTTTTTACCAGTAGATTGACCCCAGGAATCATGCTCTGGGAATAACTAAGCCTTCAGGAAAAGCTGTAGTTTACTGTGCAGATGTATTCTATTTTTCTGCAGGCCCTACCATGCCTTATTACTTTTAAATGATGAGAAGTCATTGCTTAATGAGCTCCCGTTGGACTGCTCTCCTGCCCTGGTGAGAGTAATTAAAACTACCTCTGCTGTGAAGAATTTGCAGCAACTGGCTCAAGATGCTGACTTGGCATTGCTGCAGGTACGGGGAACTGTCAGCAGCTGAAATCCTTTTAAATCACGAGGTGGTTTTTTCCTGTGTGCCAATGGGTTTCTGTGGTACATGAGCACGTTGATTCTGTCAGTGTGAGCAGAGTGCACAGAGAAAACTTGAGCATTAGACCGTGGGGAGAGGTTGGAGAAATGAAGGGCAGCAGTGCAGTGACAGCACTCAACAATCCTGCAGCATATCTGAATTACAGATTGCTGTGTAGTAGCAGGGGTGCCTGAAGGTCTCCAGTCTACACCCCTCCTCAGAGCAAGCCCAATAAAGCAGGCTGCTCAGAGACTTGTCTGTTCAAATTCTGAGTACCTTCAGGGATACCTCCACAGCCTCTCTGGGCCTTAGTCCAGCATTTGACCAGCATCAGAATGAAAAACTTTCCTCATATCTAATAGGAATTCCCTTTCTCTGCCTTGCATGCATTGCCTTTTGTCCCCTCCCTGCACCCCCCTGAGAAGAATAGCTCTGTCTTCTCTGTGCCTTCCCATTAGGTAGGCAGAACCAGAACAAATAGTACTCTTGACTTAACACTGCAGTGGTCTGTCTAGGTTCTACCATGTCGATGTCTATGTACAAATGGAGGTACCCAAAATGCAAGTGAAAGCTTGCAGCTGCCATGGCCAAACATGTTATTTCCCTTGGATCTGTGAAGATCTTTTCTGCTGAAGTGTGCTGAAAGGTAGTGCAAATCTACCTATTGTTTTCCCTTAGGACATTAGTGCATGGACTTTGCAGAATGTCAGGAAGGAGCTCTAATTTAGGCTTGGGCAAAACTTTTGAGCCAGTCTCTCCAAGCCAGCAGCTTTTTCCGAATGCCCTTCCAGGACTGACAACCAGGTTGCAAAACTGAATTGCTCAAGGAGATGTGACATGCCCTCAGGAAGGGAAGTTTGTGCCAGTGGAGGGAATGAGGCTCTGGCAGTCATGTGAGACATGAGACCACTGAGAAATGGGGGTGATTGTGCTCATTGTGGCCCTTTGCTTGTCAGGTGTGATGACTGTATAAGATTCAGACGCGGGGACATGATGTATGCTTTGTGTGACAGGGGAGAACATGGCTTGTCATCTCAGATGCTCCTGGCCGTAGGTGTACACCTTTTCATATTTGAAGGGAAAGGTCCTGTTTTGTAATAAAAATTCCAGGCCTACTTAGAGTGGTCTGTGGTGTTACTTGGCATTATATAGCTGTGGGATGAACTCTGGAAATTCCCTACTGCTTTTGTAGTTCTGTTCTCCACAAAAAAGCAAAGTTAAATGCATCTAATGATACAGGCTGGATTTTATGTCTCCTAGACGCTATTTATGTGGCTCTTCCAGAGCCATTAACAACCACTGACTTGTTTAACACATTAAAATACTTTGTGTAGCTCGTTACTGAAACATCTCAGTGCATAAAAAAGGCAGTGTTGGTTTCCTTTATGTTTGCCTTGTAGTAGAGGCTGATTCTTTTGTTTTATTTTTCATGTGTAACACTTAATGTATTTTGTGCATAAACAGAAATAAGGTTTTGGGGCATGAAAAGAAACTAAACTTCTATTGATACAGTATGAAGAAAATTCCTTTAAGGCAGGAAATACTAAGTTGCTTAGAAATGCGAAGCGAACCTTTGGAAATCCATAACCTTGTCAAATGCTTTTTGATGTGCCACATGTTATATTAAACCGTGAATTTATTCTGAAGGCAGGATGAAGGGATAGAACATTCTTTCATTTCAGCACAAACACCACTGTTCTCTCATTGTGTGGAACTCCCGCTGAGAGTTTGAATTTTGCTTTTGCTTACCTAATTCTTCCCTGTTTTCTCAATGCAGGTTTTCCAGCTTGCTGCACATCTCGTTTACTGGGGAAAAGCAATTATTATTTATCCGCTGTGTGAAAATAATGTCTACATGCTTTCTCCAAACGCCAGTGTCTGTCTGTAAGTAGAAGGAAAATGAGTGACTGTGGCAACAAGGTGATGTGAAGTGCAGATATGCACTGCAGATATGCGGGCTTTTGGAAGTATTTACCTTTTAAAACCACTTTTAGTATTTTAAATACGCTTGCTTTCCAAATGTCCGTATCAGAAAGGCTGTATGAACCTGAAACAACATGGAAACATTTACAAAACAAAATGCTTTATGATTAAATGAGTGTTAAACGAGTTAGAAGTTATGTTTAAATCATAAATGAGTTTATGATTGTTTAATGAGTGCTTTATGATTAAGTTAAACAGGAGTATCTGTGTATCTGGCACACAGCATCACCTGAAATTAATCAAAAGTAGCGAATCAGGGTAGTGTTGCTGTCATTATTGTTTTGTGTGATGGCATTTTCCACTGATAAGCCTTCTCACAGACAGAAGGCAATGTGGCCATTTTGAGAGCAGGCAGCAGCAAAGCAAAGAAGATCTGGAGGCAGTGGTGGGTATTTTTGCTCTGCTGAAGGTTGGCAACTCTTACTGTGTTGGGTTTTGAGACATTTCTAGAATCTGTGTTGGAACTTAGTTATAGGAAAATAGTTTAAAATCAAAACTTCTCTGATGGAATTATAAAAATAGAGCTGGAAGGGACCTGGCGGTCATTCAGGAACAACTGTGCCTGTGTTGTATACGGCAGTGCTGTTCTTGAAGACCTTTGTAGCTGGGAATCCTAAGTGAAAAAGTTTTCCTAATATTTAACTTGACTGTCCTTCTGATCAGTCATACTGCTTGTCCTGTCAGCATAGTCAGGAAGAACAGTGACATCTGCAGCTGCATTTTGCATATTCAAAGCTTGTATTATATCCAGCTCATCCCTGTCTTGTGTGGACTGCACAGTCCCTGTTCCTTTCATCAGAGACTGTGCCAGTCTAGACTTTTTATCATTTTTATTTTTCTTCTGAGGATTCTCTCCACACCTTGAATACTGTACTGCAGCTGAATGCAACGCCAAGATGAAAGTGCATATGCTTCTTGCTTACTTTTGCAGGATGCAGCATGCCATAAACTATCCTTACTAGGTTTTTTCTAGATCAGGCAGTATTCATTTGGGAATTGGCACTTCTGTAATGCTTAAATGGATAAATGTTGCACTGACCAGCAATATAAAACTGATTTCTATCTATATCATTTGTCTGCAGTTACTCTCCTTTAGCAGATGCATTTTCTTGTCAGTTCCGGGGGCACAACCTGCCATCAATGCTTTCCAAGTTCTCCCTCCCAGTGTCACTCTCGGAGTTCAAGAACCCACTCGCGCCACCTGTTCAGGAGGTGAGATGGAGCTCCTTGTACAATGTACAAGAGCTCCTTGTTCTTCTGCTAATGAGAACAAGGGATAGTGTTGCTTCTGGAGAACTTAGTCCAGAAGCTGCTATTGTAGGTTTAGAAGTTGCCAATTACTGTGTTTCCAACCTTATGATCTATTGTTTCCTATCTGCATGCCAGAAAGCTTTGGCGATGTTCAAGGTGAAGCTATGTGGATGCTGTATGCTAGCAAAGCACAATCAGTATGTTTCTTTTCCTTGACTGATTTTGTAATTTGGTCTATTGAAAACTGTCATAAATTAGTAGGGCTGAGTGCAAGTTTGTGGATTCCTCACAATCACATTTAATTTTATCATATTCCATCTGTTTTAAGTTCACAATCTGGTTTTAAAAGCAAACTGTCTGTTCACTTAGCTTTTGCTATGAAACTGGAATTGTTTAAAGGCTGTTAGAGGAAGTAGACTCAGCATGTAGTCAACAGAAGTCCATGTGTTACAACATTAGCATTTTAATGTTCAGACTTTGGATAATAATATATGTATTTTGGATTTGTGAGCTGTTGTTTTGCTTATGCATAGATCATGGCTTGCAGCATTTCTGAGAACTGGTGAAATTCAAGAAAGAGCTTAATAATGTGAGGTCTTCTGGCTGATGCTGTTGTATTCCCCAGTGAAGGAGCTTGGACCTCTGAACACGGCATACTGTGACAAAGGAAGCACAGGCAGATTTCTTTAGCTGATTTCTTGTAGTGTTGTTTGCTAGCCTTCATACTTTGCTGACTTGCTGGCTGTATGAATTAAGCCACCGTTCAAATATCTGGAAGATTAACATCAGTTGTGCACACAGGCACAATTGTTAGAGAAGTATTTGTTGTAATTACAGGTCGGCAGAGATTATGATCAGAGATAAAGATAAGAAGTGATGTAGTGTCTAATCCCAATAGTATGTACTGGTCAGCTGCCACCTTGGGAGGCAGGGGAAGAGCAGTTTTGCTGTTTTGTCAGTACTTTGTTGTAGTTACAGACAGATCAGTGTCCTGAAGATTGGCACTGAATTAATAGCATTAATTTTATTCTAGCTGCAGTAGCTTCAGGAGTCATTCCCAGTACTCCTTTTAAAATTAATTACTTGCCTTAATACTTCTCTTTCAGTACTTTTGGTTGTTCTCAGGCATCCTACTGTTTAAAATACACAAATAAAGTCTGCCTCTTAACTGCTGCAATTATGCCTTGAAACAACAGTGCACACTCAATGTTTGCTGGAGCTGTTGGAGTTTTAAAATGGCTCTTTTAGACTGTACACCTTCTCTCTGATGCTCATCCATCTGTGGTGGGGTCCTAAAGGTCAGCAGCATAGCTTGTTTTCATCATCATTTCAGTGTGTATGGAAGGATGAAGGATGATGCTCTGAAAAGCTATGGAAGTGCCTTCTACAGTCTGAAAAGGGGAGGTGAGAACTGTAGTTGCAGAGGATTCAGGGCCACACTGGCAAGGCATGTGTGTGAAGATGAAGGAGCTCACCATACCGTGATGAGCTGTTCTGAGCCACGGCGACTCAGCTTTTGATAAAGTGAGGTATGACAGTTCTTCGGGGAGTTTAGACTAGAGAGACTTTTTAGATGTTTTCATATCAATACCTTTTGTTCTACTTTGATGCCTGCATTATTTTGTGTTAGGAACTAGAGTGATGAATCCCATCCTGTCCTGAAGTGGTCAGGCTCCAACTGTAATTAAGAGAGATCTAGTCGATACAGCAATTAACCTGATGGAATGTGGGTGGGTTTTTGTTCTGCTGTGTAGTGATAAAAGATGCTGTACTCTGAACTGTAAATATTGTCAAATCATATTTGCTTTGCCTTTGGAAAAAAAGCCCCAAAGTCGGGACCTTTCACTGAAGTTTTGCTCTTTGTGTACATAGGAGGGGATGGATTTTTTTTAACTTTGAAGATTTTTACTAGTATTCTGTTATCTTGTGCTTTTCATCAAACTGACCATATTGTCTCTTTCTGAAGGTCATCTGTGCTAGAAGGCCAGTATTGTGGGAAAGGCTGTATTTTCTGCAGAAACTGTTATGGTCTCATGGCATCCATTCCATTTGATTCTTGTCTTAAGCATGGGATTGGCTTCCTCCTTTCAGCATGTGATTCTGGATGGGCAGAAAATACAGAAGGCATTCATAAAGTCCATGATACCAACTAGGAAGGCTGTTAAAGAGCCCTTACTCCTGTTTGTATACAGAGTCGTACTGATTGACTTGAAAAAGGATAAAGTTATATCTGTTTACTTACTGTTACATAGGTTGAATTACTCCATTCCTTTGGGGAAGTAAAAAGGTGACACTGGCATTTCTATGCTTGGGGTGCTGTGGTATTTTTTGCCTGGTAGGAGGTACAAACAACCTGGAAGACTCTGAGCAAGAATAAGATTGCCTTGAAAGATAGAGTGCATGTGTACATTCTGCTTTTGATGTCTGTCTGTGAAGTAGGTAGGAGACTTCCAGTGAGCGGTGGCTGCAAGGACCACCAGTGCTCTCAGCCATGCCTGAGACAGGAATTCTCGACCCTGTCATCTTGATCTTTTCCTGCCTGTGATGACAAGCAGTATATTGCAGTTGAACTCTGTGGTTGCTGTATATCTGTGAGTGGTCTTGTACTTATAATTTGAAAAGATTTTGGTGTTTATACAGTGATCTCTATGCTAGCTTCCCTTTCTCTGTGTTTAACCTGCCTTGCTTGGATAGCAGTGTTGCAGCAATGAGAGGGTGAGCCTATGCCTACAGCTCAGCCGATCTAATGATCTCTCAGTGCTGTTGAGAGGAGGCCCAGTTTTTCCTTTCCACTCTCAGGTGTGTGCACACATGTCTTCTGCCTTTCGCTCTTCCCTTTGCACTAGAGCTCTGGCTCCTGTCCAGCTCGACTCGATTCACTTGTTTCAGCAGCACTAATTTTCTGCCAGGTTAGCAGGTGGAATTCGCTCAGGGGAGATCTAGCAAGCTCCAGGGATGGTGCAGGATGAGGGAGGCACTTCTGCAGCTGGGGATTTGAGTGAGGAAAGCAGGAACTATTTTCTCCTTTTCACAGGGGTGAGTTGTCTGTTAGCTCCCCCATGCTGTGTAGTGTCACCTGGACTTACAGCAATCCAAGGTAGCCTGGGACTGTCCTGAACAGCAACCAGTTTAGCTCATGCTCCTGGTGCTGGATCTCACCAAGGTGCAGCCATGGAGTGAGGAGATCCTGTAAGCTGATACAGTAGAGAAACTCATCTTCCTTTTAGTGTTTTTACTGGAAAGTAAGCAGTTTGCATCTCCTCTACCCTGACCCTAAAGAAGCTGTCCTTCCTTCTGCTGCCTGTGATTGTTGTTTTTTGTCCCTGTGCTCCCTCTCACCTTGATGTGACTGCAGAGCACACCAGAGGGGAGCTCTGGTGGTGTTCGCTGTGGCGCACACCCCTTCATAACCTTCTGCAAAGCACAGAAACACTTGGTGACCTAAAACCGTTAGTCCTAAGGACTGCAGTTGGTGCATGGCAATGCTTTAATCTGCTTTCCAGTGTAAGGCTTTCTTTGTACAATATCAGAGTTTCTTCACCCAGCTTACTGTGCGCTAAGTTTCTTTGCAAACCAAGAGAAAGGGGTAATGCTTGTGGCTTCCCCTCATTTGTGCATGATGGCCTCGGCTAGTTCATCTGTTTCAGAAGCTACACCATCTCTACACTGCCTCTAGGAACAAACATGGACTAGCAGGATCTTTCCACCGTGTGGTAGAAGAAGTGTGCCTAGGTGAATTAGACATCCCATTTCCTCCCTGCATCCCCTTCACTACAGTCTACAGAAGCTCTATCATAATGCACATTGTTGTTATTATTGTAGTTACCTAATTCTCCCTTGATGGGGCTAGGATAACTACAGAAGGAGACAGATGGTGAAGTGTGACAGCTGCTGCTGAACAAAATATGTTTAATTTTTCACTTTTGTTTCAATAAGTCTGGCCATGCTGCTGGGAGTAAGGCCCTGGTAGATGAGGCCTCTGCCTTATGCATCCGGAAAACGTGCTGTGCTTTGTGTAACAGCTCAGTGCAAAATGAGTGAGTATGTCAGGGGATGGGAGTGGGAGGAGAGCTGCATGCAAATACTGAACAGGCAGTTGTGTCTTCTGAGAGACATGCTGCGAATGGGACTGTTCTGCTGGGCATTTGGAAGGCATTAAGAGTCACAGAAGCTTTTGTTGACAGAGGTATGGAAGTACTAAGGTGCATTTATATTCATTTGGTCTAGGTATAAAATCAGGGATTTCTAGTGTGGCAAGTTAAAACAATATGTCCTTCTAGACCTAGATGTAGGGACAAGTTAAGCTGAGAATTCAGAGCTGTTACCTAATGATTAAAATGGCAATATTAGACAATAAATGTTTTGACTGATATTAATGGGGGTCTTCAGAGCCTGATTTCTGTAAAACAGGGAGTAACTTTAATATCTGATCTTTTTCATAAACCAGCATGGTTTGAATGATGAAGAAAGGCAATATATTTCAGTAGACATCCATTTACCACAGTGACTTTGAACGTGCTATCCTACTGAGCCAAGGCAGCCCTTAGATCTCAGGTCAGACCTTGAAGAGTGCATGTGTCAAATAACTAGATGATCTAGACTAGAGAAAGGGGGCTCATGTACCTTTTTGTAGGTAAAACAAACTTTTAACTAGGAGTGTATCCTCATGTAGTGAGAAGCAAGCTAGGATTGAGTGTTTCCCTTTCCTGAATGTGTTGCTGGTCCCAGAGATCTTGGTGTTCTCCTTAGTTTTTTTAGGCCTGGGAAAGAAAACAGCCTTAAAGAATCCTTGCAGGAAATGCGCTTTAACGCATTACAAATGCTCCCTTCGGTTCCCAGAGGGAAGAGAATTATGAACGCTGAATCTTGTCCCCCCAAGACTTGGGGCTGAGCTTTCCTCTGACTGTCCCAAACTGCCCAGATGGGGTGATGCACAGTGCCCATGTTCTCAGAAGCTAACACATCTTCTCTGCCTTTGTCAATAAGCACAAAGCAATGTCTTGTTGTCAGCGCCTTCCGTGCCGCCTTGCATGACAGCACACTCCAGCTTCGCTGGGGCCCGCTGCACTGCAGGGTGGGGGTAAAGAGGGTGGCCCTGGGCTGATCTGTGCCAGCGGGAGCCATCCAGATGCTGTAGCAGACAGGACCCCCTTGCTGCAGCCCAGAAGGAGAGCGTGGGGAGATGGGGAAGATGACAAGAATATGGATGAAATTTGGAGTTAATTGGTAGTTAAATTAAGCAACAAAAAATGTTTCGTTTTATATTTCTGTCACGGTCGTGGTGTTTCAGCCAACAAAGGCTGGCTATGGATTTCTGCCATGCCAGATGATGACTGAGTGAGTGGAGCCAGTCCTGGGACTGAAGTATACCCTTGCCTGGGAAGCTACTCCCAGCCTTTTGGCTTCAGCAAGGAGCCCAGCTAATCAAGTAGGCTGAGACTAAGCACAAAGATAACCCTGAGGGAGGGGGAGCATTTCTGACAGCCAGCGCATCACAGATGGTGCAGGGAAGCCTATTCTCTTGCAGACCTGCCTCTAAACTGCATCAGAGCTCAGGAGGAGCAGATGGAGAATGGATGTAAATTCAGTGTTCACGTCCAGGACAGGCAGCAGAACTTACTAGCAAAGCCTCTGCTAGTCCTTATGTGTGAAAACACTTGCTGCTTTTGGTAAGAAATAGGTTTAACCTGGAAAAAGTGGAAATGATGTGAGGCACGTGCACTGGTGGCACAAAGCACAGCATTTTGGGCATGATGGCAGTTGTAGGACACTGCATCACTTGGGCTTTTTTCTAGGACTAGATCTTAAGCGGTACCAAATTCCCATTGAAGTTTTGCTTATTACAGATAACTGTCAGTGATCATCATTAGGGATGATTGTTCAGGCTCACTTCAATATGGAAGCACAGTTTTCTCCTGTTCTTAAGTTAGTCACAGCTATCTCCAGCTCTCCTGCTTACACCACAAATTTGGGTGCATTTGGGGAGTCGTTGGTTGTACCATGCTATGGTTGTAAAGCTGTAACATCACTTCTGCCTGACTTCTTGTTCCAGTGAGCCATAGCTGCTGGCTCAGGGGTGGCTTTCTAGATACTTGTACAAGAGTGTAGAGGTGAAGGTTTGCATATGCAAAATTACAGAGTGTTGGGTAAGACTTTCCAAGCACATGGAGCTGTAACAAAAGTAACTGGAGCTGTTTCTGTAATTCCTGAAGCCACTGAAGTGACAGTGGACGCTGGTCTAGGTCAGGCCCTACCCAGCAGATTCAGATTCTGCAGGTCTGGTAGAGCCTGTCGTACTGTCTCCTTATTTTCCAGGGTTGTTTTGTGCTGTGAGATGTGCAGACCTCTTTCATTTGATGTGAAATTAGCTAATCAGACACTGCTGCATGCCAACAGGTTGGAAATTGAAGTAAAACATATGAGACATCTTTCCATCCAGGCCTGCATCTGGAAGGAAGGTTTTTAGCAATGTAATCACTGGAGTAAGCCTCCTCATTCTCACAAGCTGATTTCAGATGTTAGCAAAACACTGTGCATTTGGTATCTTTTGCCAGCCTTCCTCTTCTGTAGATTTTCTACTAAACATGTAAAATGAATTATGGCTTTTCCAAAAGATATGTTTGAAGGCAATCCCAGATAATATGTTTTAGGACTAAAATCCGTCCAGCCCCCAAAAGTGGTAATCCCTGAAAAGACAGGGTGTGGGTCTGTCTGCAAACAGAAGTTTCTTTTGTGATTTGATAGCAGAGGAAGAACTGAGAATTAAAAGATTTATGGAAAAAGGAAAATTATGTGGGCTGATGAACTTCGGTTTGGGGCTTTTATTGAGATTTGGCCTGTTACCCTGATGATTAATACAGCAGAGCTAGCTTCGCTCTCAGTCTGAGCTCATTCTGCTTGTGTTTCTCTCACCAAAACAGTGTTGGTTGCTATGAAATCCCCAAACAGCTTTTGTCAGTGAATCAGTGTTTTCAGAGCCATGAGCTATGGGAAGGGCTGCCTGCAGTGATATGAAAAGGCTTTTTGTACAGAAATTCAGACATGATGATGTATTTTGAATGCTCCCCCAAAACTCCTGAAAATAGGTCATGCCAAGAACCTACAAACACTTGTCCTTCACTCTGCCTGCTGCTTTCAGCATCGCTCTGGGGACATTCTGCAGGTCTTCAGCTACTGTAACAGGGGTGTTGTGCATGTTTGTTTAATATGAGCATCATCTCTCAGCAGTTTAGAAGCTTGCCTGCCTGCAACCTGAAAGCCTGGGTGCCTTTCTAAGTTGTCCTGTCCTATTATTGCAGAGGGATGGAGAGAAAATGGGGGGATATTAACCCCTTGCAGTGAGAGAGGACTCCTTGGCAGCAGCAGACTGCTGTCTCTTGCCAAGGTTTTGGCTGCTGTTAGTGCTCTTTCTGTATCACTGAGTTCTGGCAGGGCTCCAATCTCCAGAGGCTCTCCCATAGTTATGCAGCCATTTCCCATCTGACAGCAAATGGCTCCTACTTCTGGGCACCTGTCTTAGTTGTTCAGTTCTGCCCCATCACCCTTCCCTCTCCCTGGCTTCCTAGGGGAACTGCACTTCAATCTGATGACCGCTCTGGGATTAACCCTTCAGTGATTACTGATTTTGGTTGGCCTTGTGGCAGAAACCAGCAAGCTTGGATCAGGGCTCCCACTGTTGGGCCATGGGCATCAGGCCCTGCATCTGGTTGACTTGTTTTTCATTGTCTGATCTCTCAGGAGGAAGACTGTCCCATTTTTTTAGCAACTACTAAACTTGTTTTGTTAACAGAGAGTGGAACAGCTTCAGGTGGGGTCATGGCTACACTGGTATGGCTAAAGCGTTATGTGATAAGGGCATCCAGTTGCTCTGTAGAACATAGCAGGTGCTGGGGCTATGGCAAGGGGGCAAGGCTGGTTGGTTTGAGGAGACTGGCTATGCTGGTTGGTGTTACATAAAGCCATGTTGATCATTAAAGGCTTGGTTATAGCTGAAGCATCCACAGAGACATTGGGTATGATGAACATGTGTGCCTGGTCGCCTTTTTATGATTGGAGAAGAGAGAGAACTGTTGTGTGGGTAGAGAACATTTCTATTTGTGACTTCTTAGTCACAAAGCCTAACCTTTGTGCACTGTTTTCCTCCTGTATTTCATTTCACGGGTGTTTAATACCTCATTTTTTACTTGGCAGACTCAGCTCATTCAAATGGTGATATGGATGCTCCAACATCGGCTTCTTATTCAGCTTCACACTTACGTCTGTCTGATGGTGCCACCAAATGAGGAGGATTTCCGAGCCCAAGATGAAGACATGCCTTTTACAGCCAGAGTTGGAGGCCGAAGTTTAAGCACCCCCAATGCTCTCAGCTTTGGCTCTCCAAGTATGAGCATGCTTTTCTCTGCTGTTCAGACTACAGCCCACTTCTTAGCAATGCGTAGGGTAATCAGTAGGGTAATCTTGGTAACAAGACAACTCATCTTTGCTGAAGTGCTTGCGAAGTAAGTCCAGCCCCTCTTAAATTTAGAACTGGGCATTGGCATAAAATCTTAAGGGCTATTAGACCTTAAATTCTTAATTTTAAAACGTAGTGCTTTGTAATCTGCCAAGTTCTCGTATGGTCATGTAAAATAATTTTATCAGAGGTATATCTAGTGTTTTGAAGTAACCTCCTACTTCCTTGCTGTACTCCAAAGTAACCACCACATTCCCTTGGCTGCACCGCTGTTGCCACGTGAACTTTTATTTTCAGAAGAGGAATAAAACTGTGAAAATTTGTTTCACACAGCATTGGTTTCTGTGGGCTGTAGAGCCACCTAAGGAGATGCAGAGGTAGCCATCGTTCTCATAAATAGCTGGTTTCTGTTTGTCTCTTGATTTCTTTCACCTCCCTCCTCAGTGCCATTCTTCAGGGTGATTCCAGGAAAGCATTTTTTTTCTAAGAGTATGAATCAGATACAATGCTGCAATCCCCAAACTTTCTTGCCTGTGAATTCTCAGAATGCCACTGAAGATGGATATCAGAAGAGACTCTCTGTACAACTTTCAGCTTGACAGAAGTAATGAATTAGGGCAGAAGTCTTGGAACGTGAGTCAGATGAGTTTGTGATCTGCTTATTCTGGCTCATTCACAAGAGGATATTGCTTCTTGGCCTTTCTGCTTGCTCCCACCTTCTGTGCTGTTAGGCTTTCCATGTTACCACTTCATGCTATTCAAGCAGAGCTGGCTGAGAATTTTCTTTTCAGATGTTTTTTATGGACTGTTTATGGCCTCCAGAAGTGCAATTTTCCACATAAATTGATGACTTTGTTGAAACATTTGACTTTCCCATTGAGAAAATTGCTGTGTTGTCATATGACTAATTGCAGATAGCGTTTCAAGAGCCACTTTTCCTCTACAACTCTAAAGTGATTTTTTGGAAAGACTGCATGCAAACAGCCTGAATTGATAATCTTTGCATCATTATGCTGAGGAACCTAAAAATTCTGTCTCTTTCTCTCTCTCTCACTGTTCCCCTGATAGCTAGTAGTGATGACATGACTCTGACAAGCCCTAGCATGGATAATTCCAGTGCTGAGTTGATACCTGGTGGGGACTCACCCCTAAATAAAAGGATGACGGAAAATCTCCTAGCAAGCTTGTTGGAACATGAGCGGGAAGCTATCCTTAATGTCCCTGCTGCCCAAAATCCAGAAGATCTTCGCATGTTTGCAAGGTAGGAAACGTGGAGTGCAGAATATGATCTTTTTTTCCTCATTCTTACTGTTTTATCGAAGGATCGATGGGGACTCTGAGCAAATCCCGTTAGCTTGGGATTTCAGAGGATAAGTTCTCTCAGGTTTGTTCCCCTTATACCTGTTTCATCTGTGCACATCAGTTTTTGACAACTAACCTATGTGTCACAAGAATACTTGGTAACAAAGAGTCTTGGATGTGGGAAGGAGCATCAGGGCATATGGTTGGACAACAGGGGCTTCACTGTTTTCCTGCCAGTTTTCCAGTGTCCATACATGGTAAACATAAAACTGCCTGAAAATAGCCTGAAAAAAACCTTCTAAGCATGCAAAGCGAAGACCCAGTCATGCTGATGCTGTCATTTTGTGTCCATGGATACTTCCAAGCCAGCTATCCTTTAAGATTTGTAAACTCCATGCAAATATGAGATAAAGAGCATCAGACACAAAGCCAGCCTGAATACTTTTACAGACCAGTCTATAAATGTTTTAAGGTCTGTTTTGCGGAGTTGCTTGTTACATTAGGTTAGTTAAAGTCATTAGGATGTGTAATTAGTAGCACACAGTTTTGTTGCTACAAATTTCAACACAACAAAAATACACAAGATGTGGTTCTGCAGGTGGTAATAAGCAGAATGACTTCCTAACCAGCCATCTGTGAAAAGGTGTGGGAGAAAGTACTTTTTCTTCCTAAGCATTTCAAAACCCAGTGGCATCACTGGAATGCAGCTTTCACTGGTTTTCATACTTGTGGAGCAGAAAACCACGTGAAGCAAGTGCTGCAGCTTTTCCTGTACGTTCCAGATGCAGTCAGTAATCCCTTGGAAACCTGGTTCTTAGCCCAGGATGCATGTAGTCAAGTAGCCTAGAGAAACTGTAGTAGCAAGAAAATGCTTCTCTTGTCTGCAGCAAAGTTTGTATGCTGTACAGCTCAGGTATTTCCATAAAGCTCTCCCAAGCTTGTGGGTAGTTACTGCTCTCTGAATTATTTGTCTCCTTCTCCACCTTCTGTAAATTGTTCAGAGGATATTCTCTGATAGGCAACGCTTTGCATTTGGGAACTTTGAAATGTTTTTTTTTTCCTTATTACATGGTAGGTCATTACAAAACCACTGAGAAAGTAGAAATAAAATTATAATTGCTAGTATCTTAAGATGGAGTATGTGGAGGACTCTTTGGACCAGTTTAGTGTCAATGCAGATTCGTAGTTACCCTAGGGAGAGGAAAGGATTTCACGATTGCTCCCCTACCACTTCCCTCATCTGGGTGAAGAGCCATTTGAAAGCTTTGGAATTGCAGATGCAAAAAATTACTTGGATTTCTTCTTAAAGTCCGCTGCTGTGACCAGGGAGCTGTCTGAATGATGTTTATTTTGCAGCTTGCTCACGCACCGGGTTCTTTTGCAGATCCCCAGGGTGGCTCTGCTAAGTCTGAGTTTCCATTCTACTCTAGAGTGAATTGACAACTGCGTAGCATACTCTTAAGTCAGCAGTGAGGAAGAGAGGATATGATAACCAAGTGGGTCGTATGGGTAGGGTGCTGGAGTATACAAATGGAAATGTTTATGCAAGATACTCTTGGTTACTGGCTTTATGAGACATTGTACCTTAGCAGTTGTGGGTGTATTTTTTCTCTTCTTGTGCTGTAAACCATCAGAGATGAGTGTCTGGGTAAACCTATTGCTCTTAATGAAAGTGTAAACATTGCGGAGAAGCTGCTGCAGTGAATGAGGTGATCTCCCTCATTACCCTGATGCAGGTTACTGCACCAGCTCTTCTTTTTGCTTCATTATGAGGAATAGCAGCCTAATGAGGGCTATGCTCTGGCAAATAGCTCTGCTGTATCAGCTGCCTCCCAGAACAAACTCCTGCTATAAATGCATAGTTAGTGCACTAAATATACTGCAACTGTGCTTCCAAGTGTAGTTGTGTGTGCACAAGAAGGGATGGGCTATTTTCAGCAGAGCAATAAAGTTCAGCCCGATACATTTTCTTGTGTCTATGCCTCTGAACGCCTGTTAGTTATTAAACAGATGGCAGAAGGAGCTTCTGCCTGTCCATTGCTATGCGCAGACGGTATTTGCAAGACAGAAACCTGAAGGGGAAATAAGGAATACTGAAGCTTGGCTCCAGCATTGGTTGCATTAACCCTTGTAACATTGAATGGGAATTGAAATCCAAGTTCTTCCCTTTGGTGCTGCTGGAGGAGGGTTGGTATGTCCTTCCAAAAGTAAACTTAAGAAGGAGACTTGTTATTTTTGAACTAGGTCTTTGGTAATGTACACAAAGCATTCCGCAGTGCACATTAAGCAGTGCTTTAAAGGCAGTGTGAGACTTTGCTCATGGCTTCTCTCCCAAGCTATGGGTGTGGAGACACTTTCAGGATCTTTTTTCTTGTTTTTTAGACTGGGAGATGGAGATCCTTTACTCCACTGAGGAATGCTCATTGGTGGCACTAAGCTGTGGAAAGTTTGCTCCATCTTCAAGCAGTGCTGGTGGAAGGGATATCTCCTTGACCAGAAATAAGCTAATTTTATTTGAATGACTAGTCTGAGATATCCTTTTTTAATCTTTTATTTAATCTTTTATTTAGTGTTTCAGAACATTACACTGCTGTTAGAGGGGCAGCTCTTGTAACTTGAAGAGGGGAGAACAGTGATGAGCAATGGAAAGCAATAATCTTCCATCACTGCATCTGGATCTGGAAGTGCACATCTGTCAACAGTTCAGAGTGACTCATGTGCAGTGTTACTGCCCCAAGAAGTGCCATCTTAGGTCCTGTTTGTGTCCCATAAATGTTCTTTGCCCCAAAATGCAAGGGTAGTGCCCATCTTCACTGGAGCTGTGAGCCTCACATTACAGGTTTGTAGAGTTGGGCTTTTGGCAAGACTTCCTTCCTGGGAATGTGATGCACCCCAGGACAGATTATCCAGGCATGTGAGGGAATCTCTGTCCTTGGAGGGTTTCAGAGCTTGGCTGGACAAGCTACAGCATTGGCACTAGTCCTCCTGGAGCAGGATGTTGGACTAGACTTTGGGGTGTCTTCCAGCTGGCATTTTTGTGATATTCTTTAATATCCTCTCCAGCTTTTATTGGAGTGGAAAGTATTTCATCCTGACCCGTTACAAACCCAGACCCCTTTTGAATATAGGATGGGTTTATTTATTGGAAAACTCCTGCTTAGTCCATGTTGCTGTTGAAAGCCAGGTCATAATCATTTGCACAGAAGACAGCTGTGTCAGGAGATGAGAGGATGGGCAATCACAGTGAGCAGCTCTGTAGAAGGGAGAGAAGCTGTAGCCTTTAAAACCTTTTTCAAAATCACTTTCTGAACAGTAATACAAGTTGCAACAGGCAAAAATTCATGTTAATACCTCAGGGGATGGCCTGGTTTTGACATTGCACATTCAAACTGATGCTGTCTCTGCTAATGGCCACTACTCAGTGCATGCTGGTTGCCATCACCCTGGGGGAGGAAGCTAATTAGCCTGGTTTAAATACCCAGTGGGAGATACTGCAAAAGGCAAATGCACAGCCCAGATAGTGGAAAGGTAAATATGTCTGGAGCTTGTCCGTCTGTTGTTTGTTTGTATTGCAGGTACAGAGACATAGCAATTATGTTCTACATAATGGTGCCAACTTGTGCGCTGGCAAATGAACATGAGAGCAGAAGGGAATTTGCAGTGTGCGGGGAGCTGCACAGCCCCAGGCTGCCAGCAGGGATGAGGCAGTGAGGATCCTGAGCTTACACACAGCTCTTTGGGGAGCAAGAGTGAGGTGGGAGGATGGATGTGGCAAACTGGGGAGCAGAGAGACACAAATAGTAGTGGACTAGAGGTCAAACCTGCTCTGTGCAGTGTAGAGGGAGGGCATGATGGAGTGAGACTTGCTGCATGGGGACCTGTTTCCAGTCACCCATGAAGGGTAGTGGGTGACAGGAGTGTCTAGTCTGAGCAGCAGGAGACAGCTGCCCCCTTTCCCTTCACAGAAAGCATGAGAAGCCCCATCCTGCCATCATGTGAAAACAGGCAGGAACACTCAGGCACATATGGTGTCTTTTGAGGGCTGTTTCTGCATGAGGACCGTATGAATTAACTGGAAAACAGATCTTGCTATCTCCATTCATTTCTTCTGTCAATTGGCATGATGTAGCAGGCCAGCATATTCCTGAACTGCGGCTGGGTATGGAAACAAGCAAAAGCTGCTGAAGCACAGAGCAGAGCATGATGTGTAACACATACAGACACACATCTGTCTGCATAGCTGGGGAAGTGATCCTGGCATATGCGTTTGGGCCCTGACATGCAGGAGTACTGGAATGACATGTGCAGTATGGTTCCTACAGTTGGGAGGTTAAGACAGTTGAGAGACTGAGCAGCAAACCTGAACTTTGTTTGGAGGGCTGGCTTAGAGTTACGAGTCTGAAGAGTCTCTGGGGAGCAGGTCCTCAGCCACTGGGGAATTGCTGCAGTGGTTTGTCTTAGACCCTGCTGTGCAGGGCTGAGGTTATCTAATGTCTGTAGCATGTTGGTAGTGAGCAAAGGGGTATCAGTGCTGTCGCTGCAGAAAGAGAACTGGGAATTTAAGAAGCCAGTCTGGTTTGAGCTTAGGCTTCAGTGTCTTGGGGCTCTTTGGGGGCTTTATAAGTCCCAGAGATTCTCTGTGGTGCCTGTCACTAGTATCTGTGACTGCTCCACCTAACCCAACCTTACCAAACCTTAGGAGTGCAAGACCTGCAGTCGCCAAGCCCCTTGGGATGCTGAGAGGGAAAGCAAGTGTAGGTACCCAGACTGATGCACAGCTGTGACAAAGGGCACTGTAGGCCCAGCTAAGAGAGCGCAGATGTAAATCTGCCATGTCCTGACTTCTCAAGGCTTGTCGGCACAATCTCTGGAGAAAAAACCAAGTTGAAAATTGACAATCTCAGGAAATCCCTAGGCTAGGAAGCCTTTTGATACAAGAAGGATGGCTGCAAAGCCCTGAAGTGGGGGAGTCCCTGCTTTTCCAGGGGATTTCTGTGCTAGGCATGCTTAAGGTAAGAATCTATTTAATTCACTTTACTTTTCATGTAAATGAGGTACACAACCCAAATGCTTTCTGATTTATGTCCCATGGGAGAGGAAACCTTGAAGGTGGCAGGATCAGTTCTGGCTGTGTGTGCTTGATTTGGGCTCACGTGCCTCCCTTGCTCTCCTTCCCCACAGGCTGCTGCACTATTTCCGGGGCCGGCACCATTTGGAGGAGATCATGTACAATGAGAACATGCGTCGCTCCCAGCTGCTGATGCTGTTTGACAAGTTCCGCAGTGTGCTGGTGGTGACCAGCCACGAGGACCCCGTGATTTCAGTTTTTCAGTCCCTCTTAAAGTGACTCTACTGGCAAAGGGTGGGAACCTGCTACATGCTCCATACTGACAGTCTAAAAGATGCCTAAGAACTGAACGAGGTGACTTCAATTCCTTTGTGCCATGTGGCACAGAGCAGGTTCTCCCCCTCCGTGCCTTGGTTTCCCGTCTGCTCCCTGTGGTGGCAGCTGAGGCTGGTTTGTGTGAGAGCTCCGGGTCCTGCTGCAGGACAACATGTGCTTGCTAAGCCTGGATTC